AAACACTGCGGACTTCAGAGATTATCCAGTCCCCAAATTCCAAGGATCCTTTCATCATTATATCATAAAGACAAGGCTGATTGATGTTAAGTCCCTGTGGTACACCTCCTTTTAAAAAAGGCAGGACTTTAAGCATCAATAGGTGGACTTAAATGGTGACCATCAAGGCCTAAGTTAACTGGGACTCAGTCCTTTGCTGTGAAGAGATTTCCTGCTGAGGGAAAGAGTCCAATCAGAGACCACCTTACCCACTGAAATATGGACTCTGACACACGAAGTGAAAAGTGGGCATTATTCATAAGTTTGCCAGAAAGGGTGACTGATGGATAGGTACTCCCAACACAGAAAGAACAAGCACCCAGAACCTAGCGCTCAAGTTCCTCCTCCTCCTCTCTCATTGGCCAAGTGTGGTTACAGTCTCCCTCTGATCCATCTAATATTGCCTTGCTTTCACTTTTTACAAGTGTAGGATGGTGGACTTGATCTTGATTTCTTGGGTGAGTGACCAACAGCCCTTTATATTGTTTCTCCCCTCGTTTGTTCAATCTCCCAGAAATTATGAAAGCAAGCAACAGTGGCTGGTTTACAGGACTAAAGCTGATGGACCATTTCTGTGGCAGTCGGTGTTGAACAGAGGACCTTTCATGAGGGATGCGGAAGGAGTGTTGTGGAGGTCGAGATCACCCTGGATGCCAGAGTAGGATGCTAGCAGGAGTCTTCATTTGCCAAGCTTGGTGACAGCAGCTTGGACCGGAGAACCTCCTTGAAAGAGACCTAACTCTAGATTCTAGCAACCATTTTGCCTCACGGCTGAAGCTAAGGGATTGCTGCAGCCGGGGATTTCAAATCAACTCAGGTGTTACAAATCAATCAACTTGCATTTTAAGTCAATCAGGTATAGAAGCAGATAGCTGTGTTTAGCCGTGTTCAAAACCTAGTACTGCCTTGTGGTATACTATTAGCCAGCTGCACCCTACTACATACCCCACTAGTGTTCTAGCATTGAGTCAATCTCATATCCAGGGGCACACTATATGACTAGTACCCCTACCTCCACATAAGGAGGTTTAGGACTCAAGTCTGCCAACAATATCCTACAAGGGGTTTGGAAGTCTTATGATGGGCCCTATGGGGTAGGGATTTAACTGGATTTTGTTGAATCAAACCTTGCTGCAGGTTCTCTTCCATGTATACAAGATCTTATTTCCCCTATTTTTCCAGATCCCACGTTGACCTCCACCAATATGAGTCATCAGATCGTAAATTATCCTGAGCACTGGCTGGGGTCCTGGTGGTTAAATTCCTAATATCTGCATCCTGGAGCTTCCACAGGGTAAAGGCATTATGACAGAGAACAACATAGTCTCATCTTTAAGGGACCTCCAGTTTGTTGAACAGTCCCTTTTTCTTCTGGTTCAGATGTGGCCTTCTTTAGCTGGAAATGGTGAATCCAGGATTTAGTTCCTGACACCTTCACGGATGTGGAGGTGCTCAGGATCACAGGGTTAGGTCTCTTTCAAGGAGGTTCTCAGGTCCACAGATCTCTTAATTTATATGATGTCTCCACGCTGGTGTACAGGGGTGGTGGCTCTGCCATCGCAGGCTGGGAGAGCCAGAGCTGGGAAGAGATCTGCTGTACCACCTAGAGATGCCTGGGGGTCCTGAGTAGTCTGTTGTGAGTTTATCTACCTTTTCACCCTTTTTGCTGTAATACAGTCTGTCAGACAGGATTGGGTCCGGGAAAGCTGTAAGCAATATTTTTGGAGTCCCCATTGGAGTTAGTGCATTTACAAACAGCTGTTCTCCTTGGCTGCTGTTCTCAGATACATCAGCCAGCTTTAGGTGAAAATTTCCAGATGTTATAATAAGATTTTGGGTCAATATGCCTAGACCCAATGCTTACTTCTCAAATAAAAGAGATCACAGAGCTTCCTCAGTACCTCTGCGATTGCTATATGCAGATTCTAGCATTCGCTTTAATCTAGTTAGCACCTCTCGAAATGGGAATTCTCTTGCGAGGGAACAGTCCAACAATCACACATAAGAACCCTTCCTTCACAACCTCTCCACTTTAATCAGTTTGGTTTAGGGTGCACACCAGTGATTCCATCTTCATTTTCATGTCCTCCTTGCAATAAATCTATTTTCAAAAAAATCAAAGTTGATCAATCATGTTCCTGTTCCATTTCTCCCTCATTGCCAGGTTGGGTTTGATTCAGTTGTTGACCCAGTCCCACATAGGGAGGAAAATATTTGACAAAAAGGAGTCAGTTTCAAACACTTTCAGGCCACATTTGGCAAAAAGAGGTTTTGGAAGGAATGGTCCTTATGCTAACCTCACCTGATGCTTGCTGCCACCTGTTCTGCAGACATGGGTAACCACCTGAGAGTGCCAGGCCAGCATTACCTTGCTAGAAATTGCACTTCTGTATAATTCTGACAGGCAATAGACACAAAGCTCAAAGTCAACATAAACACCACAAATCAAGTTTGCACCTTTGGCTAATTATAGATCAGGCTTAGGCCTGGTTCCCAAGCCTGTCAAAGGTTGGCCAACTCTGGCTAGCCCATTGCTAATAGCAAGATTAATCCACTTGATATGCTTAGCTTCCAAGGAAACACCAGTTCATGTGAACAGGAATACAACTTTGGGAAGGATGCATTTCCCTGAATATCATTATAGCTGGTCCAGAACTACAGTAAAAGTCAATGCTTACCTCTACTGTAACAATAGACACAGGTGCCTATAATTTGCACATGACTAAAGCAAGTACAATGCTGCTTACTAATGTGAGGGATGAACATGCTATTTGCTATTGGAGACAACACACAATTTTATATAAACAGGTGTATTACAGTTCATTGTGTGGCTATTTGTGTTAAGTACACACAATCACAGATTTTCAAACTCCCAGAGACAAAATGCCTATCTAAGACAGACAAAGATTTTTGAGTTACATTGCTGGACAACGTCATTCCAAAGCCAGATTATTTTCTGCAGTGTACTCTCCAGATGTGCTCACTACACAGTCAAACACCTCTAGCCTTGGGCCCGGCGCGGTGGCGCAAGTGGTTAAAGGTCCTCGCCTTGCACGCCCGGGATCCCATATGGGTGCCGGTTCTAATCCCGGCAGCCCCGCTTCCCTTCCAGCTCCCTGCCTGTGGCCCAGGAAAGCAGTCGAGGACGGCCCAAAGCTTTGGGATCCTGCACCCGCGTGGGAGACCCGGAAGAGGCTCCTGGCTTCGGATCAGCATAGTATCGGCCCGTTGCGCTCACTTGGGGAGTGAATCATCGGACGGAAGATCTTCCTCTCTGTCTCTCCTCTCTGTATATCTGCCTTTCCAGTGAAAAAATAATAAAAATAAATCTTAAAAAAAAAGAAAAAAAAAAGAAAAACAAGGAGAGCTTGTCAAGTAATACAACGTATCCTCAGAAAATTCATGGGAAATGTGCATTACCTTTAAAAAAAAAAAAAAACACCTCTAGCCTTATAAGATATAGGTTCGAGTTGTTTGCTGATAGTGTAACTACTTGACTATTACTTTCCCGTTTCTATATTTTAGGGCTCATTTGGGACCTGTTTTCTTCACTCAGTTACAGATTCAGTACTAAAACGTGACATATCTAAGCCTTTGAAATTGTAGGGCTTACTGAGAATTGTAGGGCTTGCGTCAACCCTAGGAACCCTTCGAGCTAGGCATTCTCAAATGTTTTCTATCCCATCATGTTAAAATGATTTCAAAGGGCTGACAACAATAGGAATAATATGGCTTAAACACATTAATTGGTAAGAGTCTACAAAGCATTTCAAAAGCATCTGAAAAATTTCACAAAACTTTTGTCCCTTTTAACAGTCATAATTAAAAATGACACAGAAGCATTAAACTTTTCCAATTTTAAGCACATTTATATCACAAAATAATAAAGAATAATTTAACATCTTGGCCATGCTTTGCATACAATGCAACTTGCCACATTAGTTTTTTTTTTAAGATTTATTTATTTTTATTGGAAAGGCAGGTATACAGAGAAGAGGAGAGACAGAGAGGAAGATCTTCTGTCAGATGGTTCACTCCCCAACTGGCCACGACAGCTGGAGCTGAGCTGATCCAGACCCAGGGGCCAGGAGCTTCTTCCGGGTCACCCATGCGGGTGCAGGGCCGAAAGCTTTGGGCTGTCCTTGACTGCGTTCCCAGGCCACAAGCAGGGAACCGGATGGGAAGTGGGGCTGTGGGCTTTAGAACCAAAGCCCACATGGAGGCAAGGACGTTAGCTCCTAGGCTATCGTGCCAGGCCCAATTTTCTCCTTAATCTAAATGCTTATCTATATTCTGGTCTCAAGGAAAGGTCTTCATCATTTGAATTGGTTGTCAATCATTGCCCCCTTCATTTTTGCCTTTTTGGCTTCCAATCCAGCCAGCTCTTGTAGCTGCCTCTTGCTCATGCCTTTGCGCTCCAGCTGTTTTTCAATCACTTTGGCAACTCCCCTTACCTCAACTGTTCCTTCCCCTTCCTCAGTGGTGGACACTGTGACAGAGCTGAACCTGCCTGTGTTTTGTTCCTTTGGTCATCATCGTCTTCCTAGCAGCTCTTGTTTCTGGGTGTACATATGTGTTTTCCCAAAGCCCTGGCCAAACTTGACTGCTGCTCCATCAGCGATGAAAAGTCACAGGAGCATTCTTTGGCTAGGCACTAGTGGAAGAGTGGCAGTCCACACTTTGCACACTTCTTCCAGTACTGTAATTCAATGTCTTTTGCTCTCCGAAGACAAATAATAGTCTCCTCATCTTCAGTGTTACAGAACTTGTGAACAAGTTTGGTAGCATGAATCACATGGACCAGTCCCTGCGCCTCTTGGGCAATGTCGCTAACTGCCAGCCCAGCACCATCTGGCTTCTCATCGTCGCCATATTCCTCCCAGTGTTTAAGTCTGCAAACAGGCCCCACGGTCACTGAGCCTGACACGACGGCTTTATTAGCACCAGGGCTGCAGGGTAACCTACGAGTTGGCGTTAGGCCCCTTCTTCTTGCCAAAGGTGGGCATCACGTTGACGAAGCGCCGGTTGTACTGCAGGGGCCGCTTGGCCACCTTCCGAGTCTGACCTCGCACTTTCTCTGCGCAAGCCAAGGATCCGTGGACTTTTACCCCCAACCCCCACCCCAGCATGCATCCGGCCACCTCCAGCGTGCTCAGGGCCTGCACCACGCACTGGGTCAGGACGGCATCATCCTCCAACGGAGTATCCACAAGCAGCACGACCTTGTCCACCGGGACGATGCCCTCCGGGGAGGCCACTTGAGCCTTGATCTGGGTGACGGTCTGCTGGCTGGTCACCACGAGGATGTTGAGCTTCTGCACGCAGACCAACAGCTGCATGTCGGGGACTGGCAAAGAAAGGAGGTCAGTGTGTGAGATACGAGCCATGGCACCTCTGAGCCGCCACCACCAAGATGGAGCCGAGAAAGAGGAAGCACGATGGCGTTTGGTTGAGGAACCACTGGATACAAGTCGGCGAGGAATTACCCATGCCACATTAGTTATTACCTTTACCAGAAGAAAGATCTTTTGCATTCTTCTCACTTTGAAATGCCCAGGGGCTCATGTGGAAATTTAAGTCAGAGGAACCAAAGCTGACAAAAATACAAGAGACTTTATCCAAAAGCATCGTTTACTCTTACAGCTCCGCTCTTTCCAATAAACTTGAAAGCTTCATTATTTTCAAATTTTGTGTAAATAGTTTATACACAATCCAAAAATAAGCCATCTGCCTAATTGCTGGATACTGGAGCTGGCTAGGAAATGAACAGAGTTTACAATGTGAAATAATACTTAACACAGTATTTGAAAAATTTATGGAAGCATATTTAACAAACCCAGTGTTTTCATAAACTTTAAGAAGCTAAGAGTGCTTGCTTTTAAATTAAAAATATTTGCCTCATTTATCTATGCCCAATTTATACATTTAACATGTCCTGACCAACAAAATCCAGCAGCTATGTATTTTGAAATTTTCCTAAGGCAACTTAGTTGGAAAAGAGTGCCAAAAACAAAACTAAGACCTACTATAGGGCAATTCTTCCTTCAAATTCAAAGAGCACTGTGGCCAAACAATGTTACTGAACAACAAAACCTTTAAACTGTACCAAGATGACTTCGGTGATGAAGAGAGAAAGGACAGGCAGAACCAGGGGTTTTTTCCTGCTGTTGGTTCATTCTCCAGATGTATGGAACAGAAGGATTAGTCCAGGCCAAAATCAAAATCAAGAAACTCTCTGTCTCACTCAGAATGACAGGAACACGAAGTAGTTGAGCCTTCATCGTCTGTTCCCCAGGGTGAACATTAGCAGCAAATTCACTTGAAAGCAGAAACAAGACGGAGCCAAGGCATCCCCATGGGCATATGAGCATCTCAAGCAGTGGCTTACCATGAGCCACTACGCCTCCCTTTGTATTGTCTAAGTCCAATTCAAATATAAAACCAGGAACCACGCTCTGTAGGATAGCATCTCCAGGAAGAATTAGACATTAAATGAATACAGGTGAGGGTTCAGAGGGTCTAAGAGACACACTTCACCAACAAAAACTGGCAGAAACTGTATCGCATGGGTTTTGCTGTTTTCGGTTAGTTTCATCTCTTCAAAACACTTTCTTCTGATTAAATCATATAATGACTCATAGATCATACAGTAGCATCATTTTCTTCAAGAAGGTTCTTGATTTTCATTTCTTCTGCTACACGTTAGTCATTTAGTAGCATGTTATTTAACTTGTTGGGGGTGTTAATTTCTTTTTTCTCCCTGATGTTGATTTTGCTTTGTGGCTTTTCATTTAAGGGGATGTATAGTAGCTGTGTAATGGAGACTGTCATATCTAGTAATATGTCATTTAACTTCATGGCATTGTAAATTTCTATTTTTCTTTCTATTGTTGATTTTGTATTATGACTTTTCATTTGAGGGGATGTACAGTAGCTGTGAAATGCAGACTAACATATCCAGATGTGAGGATACAATGTAGTATGCATTTCTGCTTCCAGACAAAGATGGACTTACAATGAAACTGTTTACCGTATCTTGACAATAGGATGCTGAACTCTCTGCCATTGTCCATGCCCACAATGATGGACATACAACTGTGTATGAAGAACTGCATTTTAGTAATGATATAGAGGAACTAGGTGGGGGGGGGGGAGTAAGGAGGGGATAAGGGAAATGCCAGAAGCCTATGGAACTGTATCATAATACTAATAATAAAATGTAAATAAATAAATCTTAAGAAAAAAAGAAGGATCTTTTCAAAAGCTGGCGTTCTTGTCAGTTTTCTGCTATTTTGCCTTACACTGGTGCTTTTTTTGAGTCAATAAGTGGAAAAATGCCAAATCGAATTATAAGAGTTCTTATGTAGAAACTGGGTCATTGAGCTTTGATCAAAGATCACTTAATCCCTGACATTCTCTCTCCCTGGTAATTACCCAGGTATGTTCCAGATGACTTGCCTCATACTCCACTCTCTATTCTTTTTTCCCCTTTGTATAGTAATAATCTTCTGTGAAATTTTAATATCTTTTTTTTAAGTCATTGTCTTGTTTTTTGCTGTTTTTTGAAGAGTTATCATAGGGAAAAGTTGTCTTTTCTCCAATATTCTCCAGGCTTCAATAAAGGAGGAGCATCAGTCCAGCCATAAGTTTATATTAAGAGGTTATAAGAATATAAAATGAATGTCACAAGGAAATGAAGGGATTCATGAGTGAAATGTGACTGGTTCGACAATACCTAAGTGCATTTTAAGTGGAAGCAGAAACTAAGGATAAACTAATCTATTATTCACAAAAAAAGTTTTAGAAAAAGAGCATTTCGCCAAAGTGTATGGAAAAGACCTTCCAGCTTCTGAGGAAGACATTTGAGGCTTTTGTCTCCCCTCCCCCACCCAACAACACATGAAAGTGAGAGTTGGTTCAGACACAGCAACGACAGAACTCAGTGACCATTCCAGAATCAATCAGTGAACTCCCAGAAGACATTCACCTGTAACAAATGCAGTGCTTCCTTCTTGTTTCATTTCTCTGAAGTTGAGATTGTCATCTTAGCCAACACTTTGTGTAAGGAATCGATCTGAAAATTAACCACACACAAATATATATAGTATCTTTTTTTAATTTTGGTAGGTGTTAGTCTGAGTCTACACCCCTTCCTTCACTTGTCCAGCACTGAGCCTCACTCCACTGGGTGCTCATCACTCCATGCACGTATTGCCTTCATCAGCCGTCTCACATGTGTTTTTTTAATTTACACATACTATGTTTCCTACACTATATCATTAACTCCTAATGAGTTTGGGCCTTGATTTACTCCTTTATATGTCTTCAACATGAATCCTAGTACAAGGCTTATATTGTTGGGAAAAAAAAGTTAAGACTGAAAAAATAAGTTTGTGCCAAAGTACCCTGATAGTTCAATACTTTATAAAAAATCATTTTTTTAAATTTCAGAATAAATCTGCTTTAGCATATATGGTATTACAAAATTATTCATTCTTTTATGTATTCACTTATATTTGCCAGATGTTGTTATCCTCAAGTATTGTTGGATTAAAGGTCAGATGCTATTACTTGTCTATTGTACAGTTTCCTAATGAATGTTTTTGCTTGATATGAATAAAATATACTTATGCTTTATATCAAAGTGGTAGGACTTACCTGTCTTACAGGGAAAACACATTTTGGCTTTCCATTCGTTGTATTTGAGATATATTTTTGAAACACAGTGTTCTTTTGATTAAGTAGTTGTAGAAAAAGTTTAACAAACTTTATAATTTTACTTTATAATCATTATATAGCAAGTTATAAGTAGCAATAACTAGAATTAACATGATGACATAAAAAGCTGTGAATGATATTTTTGATAACAGAAAAATGCCTACTATATTAATTTATGTACTAAACACAATTATCTGCTGTGCTTAGATACTTGATTTACTGAAACAAATATATTCCCACATACAACATCTGTCCTTAAGTTAAAAAAGTTAATTTTCAATATTCAGGTCCCACAGTAGACTTAGCATGATAGAAGGCAACAGAATGAAAATACAAATTTCCACATAAAGAAAGTTATAAAATTAATAAAATGAACTTTTAAAAAAGAATATCAGACTGGATGTACTCAAATGTGAATCATTTTTTGCAACAGTCATGTTGAGACAGACAATGGTTTAGGTGATTATATAAAATAAAAATGCCTTACTAAAAAGCTTTACAGACACCTAATGTGAAACCTAAGGATTCACAATAACAACACCAAAAAAAAAAAAAAAAACCCTGCTAACTCCTAAGTGTGTGCATCTCAGGAATTTTCTTTTTGCTTCATGACATCCACTCATCTGGAGTACCTGGCTTGAGAAATGTTACAAAACAGTATGTGTTTTCTAATTCTGTAGTGGAGAACTCATTTTGTTGCTGTAGTACACCTTCAAAGAGAAGTTCATTGCTTCAATTTTCAATAAGAGCATTTTCTTTTGTGAGGAGCAAAACAAGCTCAACAGATTTAAGTGCTAGCTTCTACAAGGACATTCAAGACATCAGGGGAAGCCCTGCTTGGGGAAGTAGGGGGAGGTAAGATGAGGCAGCCAGACTCAACAAACTGCAGAAGAGACCCCAGTGATGGATACAGGGAAGAGCAGCACTGGTAGGAAGACTCTCAAACCCAAAATGGACACTTCTGACAAGACCCATAAGGTGCTAAATACAGATTTTAAATATGATGAAGGAGAAGCATCATAAAGATTGGGAAAGGCAATACTGCCCTAAAAATTAAGCATACATATAATTCAATCTATTTTAAAATGTTAAGCCATATCAATGCATACAAACAAAATTTAATGACACAATAGAATGCTGAATAATTTTTGATCTACTATATTGCCAAAATAGTCATTTCAGATGAATTGAACATTTAGTTCTCTACAGTGATCACAGGTAGCTGTCATCCACAGAGAAAAAAGAGGGAACAAGCTCAAGGAATGCAGGGTAGATGGAACAGCTGTTAAGGCTCCCTGAAGGAAAACCTTCATTTCTTAAAAATTTTAAATATTTGCTTATTTTTATTGGAAAGTCAGATTTACAGAGAAAAAGAAAAATCTTTCATCCTATAGTTCACAGAAGTGGCCACAAGAGCCAAAACTGAGCCAGTTCAGAGCCAGGAGCCAGGAGCTTCTTCCAGGACTCCCATGCGGGTGCAGGATCCCAGGCTTTGGGCCATCCTTGATTGCTTTCCCAGACCACATGCAGGAAGCTGGATGGGAAGCTGTGCGGCCGGGATATGAACTCGTGGCCGTATGGGATCTCAGCACTTGCAAGGTAAGGACTTCAGCCACCAGGCTATTGCACAGGGCCCTATTTCTTATTTTTAAGGCAAAATTAAACACAGCTCACAACTCAGTTTCATCATCAATAATGATAG